TTTTTTCAACTAATGACTAGACATGCTCGTATTGTCGTGTGGCCGTACGGCCCCACGGGGATGGGTTGGTGAATGGGGGCAGGGGTGGTGTATGGGTGGTGTAACACTGTAACCAGGGGCCAACGGCTCGGTTTTGTATGGGTTGTGCTTCATCATCCATTCATTTATTCGAAGCCACTGCTGTCTATCGTGACGCAAGTGCGCTTCGCAACTCTTTGTTGTCGCACGCTGCGGTTGTGACATCATGACGCGGAACACTGGCAAGGAGCAGGTGGCCCCCGACCAGGCCGCGACAACAAGTGAGAGTGGTACAAGAAAGGGACACAACTCGAAGACTTTCGACTCTCCATTCAAGATTGATGCTGGTGTGGATGCCAAACGAGATGACCCTGTGTGGCATTTTGTTGCACGTGGCCGATACTTGTACCCCGAGACGGCGGTGGGGAGGAAGAGTGGTCGACGATGTGTCTACAGATTGTGCGGGAAATCCATTTGTGGGGGAGTAGAGAAGCGAAGTAACATTTCTTCAAAAGCAAGGAGTTCAGATGCCCGGCGGGGACCCCTGCTGTGTATTATGCCATATGGGCGAAGAACATGGACAAGTGTCCGAAGGACTTTGTTGCCTCAATTGAGGAGTTGAAGAGGCTCCCTCCTGGCGCTCCGGCATTCCAGTGGCCGGCACTTTTATTCCCAGAGGACTCAGAGCCTCGCTGGTCGCTTGCTAGTGAGGCAGGGCCGTCTCGCGGTGCAGTTGGTGCACCGGTTTTGGCACCTGTGGCGGGAGGACCGTCGGCCRGTGCAGTCCCACCGCCGGTACTTGGAGGGACCTCGGTGCCGTCGGCAGAGGCAACGAGACCGCCACCCGCGTCGCTCGAGGGCCACCGTGTCTCTCCGTCGGTTGGATTGCATCCTATGTTCACGACTACCGCGGCCAGAGCATCGGCTGCAGCAGGAGCTCCTCTTGCGGGTGACCGAGGCACAGCTGCGGCAGCCACGGCTCGGTGGTCTCCACCTCGACCTCCACGTTCAGCTCCATCTTTGGCAGCGGCTGACTTGCGGGCGCCACAGCGCACAGGCGCGGTACCTACGTCGTGGTGGTCTCCTCCTTGTCCTCCGCGTTCAGCTGCCCCTCAGTCGCACCCACCACCGCACCAGGAAGTGCAGGGGACTGCGGCTCACACGCATCCACCATCGACTCAGGCGGCAGTGGGCGCGGGTCCGCCCCCACCAATTCCACTATCTGATTCTTCGCCCACGCCTGCTGCCGAGACTGCCCCCACATTCGCTGGTGTGGTCGCAGGGGATTTGGATCCTATGGAGCGGTTACGCAACATTCCACTTCCACAGGCCGCCACACCCGCGAGTCCAGCTGGTTTGTTTGACATGAGTGCCTCTGGTACGGTCGCACGAGGGAGGGGCACATACAAGCAGCAGGCGGTCACCTCGTATTATTCTGACCCTAGAGAGCGTGCATGACACATAACGATCATGCGGTTCATCGTGGAGAGTGGCATGCCATTTAACTGCGTGAAGCTTGAGAGCTTCAGACGGATGTTCACAATCATCATCCCTCCTGGGGTCATCGGGGCTCCCGTGCCTAAACCCTTGACTTATCACATGGTTCGAACGACGTTGTTGGACGAGCTGGAAGCAGAGATGCAGCGGTGTGTGAGACCAGTGCTCGATACCGCGCGTCAGAGTGGTTGCACTATTATGATGAATGGTTGGACAAACATCCGTGGTCAGACATTGTGCAACTACCTTGTCGGTACAGAGAGGGGACCCGAGTATCTTGCCACTGATGTTATGCGGGGGAGGAAGGACGCGCCATCATTGGCGAAGGCATGGTTGCACAAGCTGAAGACCCTCGATATCCAGCTCAGCAATATCACAGCGTTTGTCACGGATTCTGCGGGTGTGAACGTGTCCGCCATGCAGATATTCGAGGAGGACGAAAGCGTCAAACATATTTTTTGGATTCCGTGTGTGGCACATGTTATGGACCTCATCTTGGAGGGCATTGGGTCGATTGGATGGGCGGCATCACGCATTGCTCAGGCGCGACTCGTCACGAAGTTCTTCAAGCGCCACAGTCACGCACGCGAGGCTTTGGAGAAAAAGACGAAACTGAAGTTGTTGCTGCCCGCAGAGACTCGTTTCGGCACCAACGTCATCATGATCAGGAGATTGTTGGATCTGCAGACCCATCTCATGCAGGTCGTTACCGAGGACCCATGGCGCGACACTGTTTGGGCCACGCGGAAGGTCGGTCAGGATGCCGCCGAGATCACAGCATGTGTGGGGTCTYCTCCATGGTGGGAGGATTTGAGGCGTTTGTGTAATATCATGGACCCGRTCATGGAGATGCTGCASATGCTGGACAGTGACACACGRCAGATCAGCAAGGTCCTRYGTCGGTATGAGATTATRATCGCATCYTGTCTTACCGCGTGCGACTCCCTCACCGCGAMAGAGCAGGATGAGATCCTTGAGGTTTTCGACAGGCGGCGCACCATGTTCCGTACTCCAGTGCACATAGCGGCCATGATGCTTGATCCTGAGTTTCGGGATGCCACCCTGCCGGACGACGATGTGATGCAGCAGGGGTTGATTGCCGCTTTGGTTCAGTTTGGCTMCCCCGAGGGATCTCCWCAGCACATCGAGGTGCTCACYGCGATCGACAAGTTCCATGCCAGGGAGAGGCCTTTCGACAATGCCACGATGGATAGAGCGATGAGGAGCTATGAGCACCCGTCCAGTTTTTGGGAGTCGAAGTCGCGCAGGTTTCCACACACTGCATACTTTGCCATGAGGATCCTGCGCGTTTGGATGACAGCGTCGCCCTGTGAGAGAGCTTGGTCCCGTTGGAGTTTCATCCACTCGAAGACTCACAACAGGTTGGAGGTTGGATGGGCTGAGAAGCTCGTGCGGTGCCATTGGAACCTTCGTCTTCTCAACCATCCATCTCTGACCGAGGACGCTCCTCACGACATACCCGATCAATTCGGGAAGTGGGTTCACTATTGGCAGCATTTGGAGGACGAGTCGCCCAATGACCAGCAACTTGTTGCGGGGAGTGGAGCGAGATTGGCAGCCACACAGGAGGAGATGCGTGTGGCGAGGGAGTGGATGCGCAGTGTTTCTCGCATGGGCACCGAGCGCCGCCTTGTCCAATCGGACAAGAGACGACGTGGACGTGTTCGGGGTCGTGGCGGGCGTGGTGGGCATGGGGGGCGTTCTGGTCGTGGACGAGGTGGGCGTGGGGGACGCGGACGTGGATCAGCGGGCGGGATATGTCCTCGTAGTGCGCAACCTTGGCTGCGTGATGAGGCGATGGTCAACCTTATTCGTTTCCCTCGACAGCATTGGGACGAGGGTGATTTTTTGTATCACAGCTCCAATAGCGACAACGAGGATTTCTTATGTACCGCCATGCCGCGAGGCGGAGACGACGACGGCAGGCCGGACGACGACCGTCCGGATGATGACGATAGTGATGATGGAGCGGGCGACGGTCGGGACCCTTGATTGCTGAGACGGGGTGGTGGCACTGGTGGGAGAGGTGCTGTTGCACCACGAGATGCAGCAGGTGATGGCGGAGGATTAGACGTCGTCGACGGTGGAGGCGGCTCAGGCGGGCCACAGGCCGAGGATACCGGAGCAGTGCTGGAGCGTACACGTGCGGATGTGGCTATGGACGCTGAGCAACATGTAGTGGACGTTGTCGACGGCGGAGGCAGCAGGGATGGACAGGCCAGTCCCCCGCATGGCTCGAGACCTCACCTCGTACGATTGCGGCATAGGCCGAAGAGGACACAGTCGATTGCCGATCGTGTGCGGCACCGCCACGGGACCCTCCCCCCCACCGTTCATCCACGAGCCGTTTAGTCTGAGCTTGTCCCCGTTTCCGAGGACTCCATGAGTGATGGGCCCGTCGATGAGCGACACCCGTCACCTGTCGGCTCGGCGCGGGAGACATATCCGGTTGCCGACGGGGCACAGGAGGACGCACGTCGAGTTCATGGCGCAGAGCAGGACGCACATCCACTTCCACGCAGTCCAATGCTCGGTGGTGGTATGGACGCGGCTGACGTGTGCATAGAGGTGATGGAGGCGATGGACTTAGGATGTCCCCCTGCACCGATGATGGACGTACATCAGCGCGCCGAAGCGGCGAGTGGATTACCACGCACAGATATCTCAGGAGTGTCTACCATGGAGGATGGTGAGATCACTCCAGCGGCGGGAGGCCTAGGAGACGGGAATGTTCGCCTCTCTCACCCCACCGGCAGTCTTCCTTGAACTGCTGACCTGCTCTCCATAGGTTCTGCACTCGACGGGCTCCCCAACATCCGCACCCTCGTTTCACCGTCATTGTCGTACGTGCAACCCCCTTGCGCCGATGGTGGGAGCACCCGGGCCGCAGGAGACGAGGATGTCGGCCTCGCGTGCCCCGACGGTAGTCTTCCTCGCATAGGCGACATGGTGGGCATGGGCACGCTCCCCGACAGCATGTTTGGTGCTGACACGATTATTCCACCATCGTTGCCGCTCGTGCCGCCCCCTGGCCTCCAGGGTGGGCCCGCCCGCGACGCAACAGACAGAGGGTTTGACGAGTTCGGTGGAGATACGATATTGTCTGCCATGGCCTCTGCAACCCCATCCGTATTTCGGGTGGGGAAACCCCAAGAGGTCGCTCTAGGCTTGGCCGGGACCACGACACGCCATGGAGGTCTGCCACATACGAGGGACGGGCGTAGCTCCGCACAACGTAGCCTCGCTGACTCTTTGGACGGAGCGTCTTCTGACAACGGCGCGCGAGAGGGTGAGGCATTGGGTGGACTTGGAGGGGATCCTTGTGTGGGAGCACCGTCGACGACCAAGGGTGGAGAGGGTCGATCAGAGGCACCTCCGACCAGCGCGAGCCACGCAGAGCCTGGGAAGGACATTACACCAGCTTCGTCGGCTGCCGGTCGCACTAGTGACGGACCTGCCACGCGCATGGATTCTGCACCACATGCGGCCGGGAGGGGCGGGAGGGAGGAGCGACAGGGAGGAGCTTATGCGGGGGGGTCTGGCCCACCTGTGCCAAGGTTGGCAGCATCGTCTTTTTACGACCGGGGGAGAGCAGCACCAATCGATGGCGGAACCGCAGCAGGGAGGAGTGCATGCGGCATGCCAGATGTGCCCTTTGGAACACGTTCCATCGGCGTTGTTGGGAGTCGTAACCATGGTGCGATGCGTGAGTATGAGGACCAGCATGGCAGACGGCTGGCCACGAAGGCATCAGATGTTGCCTTCACCAAGGTGGTGAAGGCTAGTATGTCGCGTGCAAAGAGTAAGGGCGGACACGAGAGGTTTTCACAACATTCGAGTCGTCGTGGCACCACACCCAAGGAGTCTGTGCATGATCACACTCAGGACGAGGAGGTTGCTGCACCGCATGGTGGTGTACCGGAGGATGGACAGGCAGGTGATGGAGGCCGTTCACGCAGATTGTTACGCATGCATGACAGCTCCGGCAGCGCAACCACACCGAGGGGGCTGGTCGTGGAGAGAAGAGACGAGGTGCTTTCACCATTGTACACGATGACAGTTCTGACATCCCGACCGGCGAGTCGACGGGGGCCGACGACCCAGGTGACTCCGCTTATAGACCGGATGGATCTCGACCTGCACGCATGGAGTATGGATCTCGACCTGCAAGCATGGCGGATGGATCACGACCAGCACGCATGGCGGATGGATCTGATCCTGGAGGACGTCGACTCAGACGCAGGGAAGCACTCGATGCACAGGGACATTTGACTCCTTCGACTCTGAGACCATTCATCCCCCGGCCCCGGGTTGACAGGGGCGAACAGACTCGTACAGTCCTACTGGCAATAGAGGCTAGGCGACTTCAGAGATTGACCCCTGCATTCCCGTGTCGTGATGGGACTGACGATCAGAGAGAAAGGAAGACGGTCACAAACATAGGGGGAGTGACAGGCAGGGGGGTAGGTGATGGATCTGATGGTGGAGGCGGGGAAGAGGGTGGGCTTGGGAGTGAGAGAGAGAGTGTGAGAGAGAGAGAGTAGTCTTCTACATGGGCATATCTATTTTTGTCGGGCCCATTGTATTTTAGTTGTGTTTGAGAGAGAGAGTAGTCTCCTACACGGGCGTCGTTAGACTCGTCAGTGTCGTCACCATCGAGCCTTCGGCGTGGAGTTTGAACCGTTGTATTTTTGTTGTGTTTGAGGTTTATATGCTCGCTCAATGTACTCGCTCAATGTACTCTCTATGTTCGGGTTGCGGCCTTAGAGGAGTACCATTGTGGCCTTGTAGGAAGTTGTAGCCTTGTAGGCACTATATTTTTCTTGTGTCTGAGGTTCATATGCTCACTGCCTGTACTCTCTATGTTCGGGTAGCACTCTGTATGTTGTAGCTTGTAGGATACTTCATGGATAATGGTTTTTGGAACTTTGTGCACTGTCGCTCGCATTGTTCCATCTTGTCTCATTTGGATTTTCATTGTATGCAGTTTCATTGCCTACTATTCAGTACATTTGTTCTTGTTCAAATCACACCATAAATTATTGTCGACTTTGTTTGATGTTAGTAACAACAGCAAGTGACAGCAGCTGTCAGCAGGGAACCTATTGATGCGGAAACTGCGGTGGTATGACCGTATGAGTCCGTATGACTCTTGCACATGTTTGGTGTTAGTGACAATGAAGAACCTATTGATTCTTGACACTGTTTGTCAGTAAATCGCTATGTTTTATTGTACAAACTACTATTAAGTGTAATAATTAGTAATTACTGCAGTAAGAGTCTGTATGACTAATAATGGTGTGCAAATAATGGTGATTATTGATCTATAATTATTGATGTTCTGRTTTTTTGATTTATTATTATTATTTTTTTGCTTTCATTCTCTGTATTTTGCATTAGTAGCAGGCTAGCTACATTACATCTTTGTGTAAGTTAAACATAGTTTAAGTAACCATGCATTATGAACCTCCGGGGGCCGCCGGCCTCGGGGCCACAGTCCCCCGGCTCCTGCCCCCAACCATAGGCCTTGCGCGCGGCTGCAAAAAAAGAAAAGTAGGTGGTTTGCGAACTTCCACCACCAGCCCCTGGCCCTCAGTCCCCCGGCTCCGGCCCCCAACCGCAGGCCGCACACCCAACAGGGTCCAAGGCCTTAGGCCACCAGCAGGTCCAGCA